ACAAGGTAACTCTGGCCGAGGCTGGGAAACGCTTGCCCAAAATCCAATGCAACAAGCAGCGGCATCCCCTCCATCGGGTTGGGCATCAGCGAGGCGGCCCTGGCTACCACACCGAGGTCCAGAATATTTGAGGTGAGCTGTCGGCCAGAAATAAAGCCCCGCTGCGCGGCGGATGTGGAGCTCTGCGCTATGGGGGCGAAGGCGGCGTCGAACGTGGCCGAGGTAACTTTCATGTCAGCGCTGCGTAGCCCAAGCGTGCGCACTGTGTCAGGGGACCTGTTGGCCCCTCTTTCGTCATCATCGCCAGCAAGACAACCTTTGGGAAGAAAGGCTTGTAGTGTGTCACCGCACTGTGCGAATAACCGCTGCCCGTCCATCATCCATACACAGGCAAGCCAGGGGGCCCTCGCGCCCATCTCGCGTGCAGCCCGCGCAGCGCAGGGAAGCCCGCCAACGCCAGGGGAAGAACGCGACGGCGCCAGTTTGACAAGCATACGCTGGAGCATCTTGAAGGATGGAGGAGCAAGCCCATCCAACACACATGGATGACCAAATCGCTCAGCATAGCGCCTTGTGCGAGCAGGAAAGGCTTGGGGGGCGGCGGGTATTGGCGCCCAATAGCGCGTGAACGCATCCAGCTTCTCTACGGGGCCAGTATAGGTGATACCAGCGACCTCGATGGAGCGCAATACCGGCTTCTTTGCGAACGGAACCCAAAGCCGAGCTTTCCGCTGCACCGCCGCAATCGTACCAGCAGAAAGGCGTTGGCGCCCTTTCCCATGAGCTGCATCATGTTGTAGTCGCTCCATTTCCAGCTCCGCCGATCGATGCTGAATGGAGTCCACCCAAGCTTGAAACGCAGTATAGTCCGTGATGATGACCTGTGTGCCATGTACTTGCAAGCATGAGCGCGCAACTTCAGAGGCACGGCATAACTTCTGAGCAAGAGAGGTGTTCTGTCTCCAAACACACCGAGCTGCTTGACGAACAAAAATCAACTGCGCCTCCAGTGCGCCACTCTCGTTGACCAAGATACTCTGCATCGTATCAAGCGCCGCAGCTTGAACAAGGTCTTCGTAACGTAACAATTGCCTCGGTGGTGACATGCCCAAGAAATGCTGTCCACCGTTGCGAAGCAGCACTCCTAGTCGCCGCTGGAACTCAGGTCGTTTGAAGATATGCGCAGGGACTGGCTTGCAGCAACAGCCTTCCAGATCACGATGTCGAGCGTGAACCCTGATCGCCGCGTGGTCAGAGAGCTCCTCGGCGTGCATCTCCTCGGGCGTGGAGACGACCGACTCGGAGTGCTGGAGTTGGCACGACATCCAATTCGGCTCAGAAAGCCAGAGCCTGTCGATCTGCGTCAATGTCTTCGTGTGCAGGCAGTAGTGGGTCGGGTCCTCTGACGCAATCTCCAGCATGCGATCAAACACCGAAGACCAGAGCCTGACATGAGACCGAGGAGTCATTCGTAATACTTATTGTCTTTGCTGCCGTCGGTTGTGCCACGTGGAGTGCATCGTGGGCCGCAAAGTTGAGGTCTCCGCGTACAACGACTAACCGAGAGCTGTGGTTGAGTGGTGCCCACTTCAGGTCATCCTGAATAGCCCTGACCACCCTCTGAACTTCCTCCGCGGAGAGACCGTGGTTGTGAATCTTGTAGTGGCGAATCTCAGCGCACGAGCCCACCAAAATTGCCCGCAGCATTCTGCCCCTGAGGAGAGGAGCGGACGAAGAGGCTCGAGCTGATGCTGCAGAGAGCGACACAATCGTGGCGACACCGCCACGTCCACGACCAGACTCATCATCTCCATCACGCACAAATTCAAAAGAACCGGAAATCGTAGCTGATGGTGCAACCCATGCGCAAGAACATTCCCAGCTCGGCTTGGTGAACCTCTTGGATGGCGACGACAGAGGGCGAGATGCCGATCAGGTCCAAGTAGGAGGCCTTACTCATCGATCGCGCGCCGCGAAATTGCAAAATAGCCCTAGCGTGCCACGACGCGAACGTGAGCTCTTGACCCCGCGGGGCAGGACCACCATCAACCTTGTGGTAGAAGATACCATCGTACTCGCTAAAGAGACCACTCTGGCTTCGCATTAAGCTTGAGGGCGTGACCGGTCGACTTGTCAATCCCAGCGCGCGTCCAACCACGGGAGGTGAGCGCAGCATCGTGAAAGTGGTAAAAGCGCGGGTTCACGGCCAGGCTGAGGTTCCAGGCGCAGCACGGGGTTCCAGTTCTCAGAAAGCCAACCATTCTGGTGGTCGAAGAAGAACTTGCACTGCGGATGCTCCTCGCGGAGCGCGCTCGTGATCTTCTTGCCAGCGGTCTGAAGCTTGATCTGGCATGGGGACTTGTCTGGCCCAATGTGCAGCTGTGTCGAGCCACCCGACGCGGCGGGCGCAGGGAAGCGCATCCACTGGCCTTTCCCGAGGCGAAGCGCAGCAAGAGCCTTGGACACACGCTTGCAGGCGAGGCCGACTGCACCAGTGAACTGAATGACGAAAATGCGGTCCTGTTTATCACCTTCGATCTTGAAGCCTTCGGTCTTGGAATCCTGGAGCCACTTCTCGACTGATGCAGCCACATCCTTCTTACACACCATCGTGGGCGCGACAGCTTTGAGAATGGTGCCGTCGACGTCGCGTTGGAAGCCAATGCCAGCGGGCTTGGGAGGCTGCGGGACTTTGTTGGCCATAGCGAGCTCCTTTCGCATTTCCTCGAGTGAGTTCGGCACGTCGGCAAACTGCTTGGCGAGGGCCTCGGCGCGGGCGCCCACGTCGTTGAGCTTGGCTGCCGGTGTGTCCAACTGGCGCTGGATACGCTGCTCGAGATCGTTGAGTTCTAGACGCAGATGGGCTTCCATTTCATTCTTGTAATTCCCTGGGGCGGCCTTGATCGCGTTCTCGAGTGCACGGACAACCGCCATGACTGGGTCAACCGCTTTGCCCGCTGCATCGGCCGCAGAGGCAGACGCAATGGAGGCCAGGTCGTCCTTGAAGGTCTTGAACTCGAGCGGGAGACGCTTGCCGAGCCGCTCGGCAATGAGACCGTTGATGTGAGCGCCCCAGTCATCATCGGCCATGGCATAAGCCCTCTTCTGCGTCTGAGACGTTGCGGCTCGACCTCGAACGATCATCGTCCACCTGACCACCAGCAGGAACATTACCACCAGCACTCCGCACAGCCGCTGGATGCCCCGCAGGAGGGGGCTTCTTCTTGCGCCTGGGAGCGGCACCATTCGGGGGCATGCGCGGGTCGAGCGCGCCAGGTCTCGACGCGTTCGGGCCGACAGGAACGGGAAACGCCTCCGTTTACCCACCGACCCGAGCGCAGGGAAGGTGGGCGAGAGAAAGCGCCAGACTTCAGGAAGTCTTGCCAGCCGCGGACTAGCGGCACCCGTTTGGTTCCCAGAAGAACCCTGGGCCAAAATGGCTTGATCCAAAATGGATACGGAAGAGGTGGAGGTGGAGGGGGGGGGGGAAAAGGGGCAGCCACGGCTTTTCGAGCGCAGTATGGTTTGGGAGGAAGGCGACTCCTGCGGGGAGAGGTTCTCCAGCATGAATCGTCTGCGCTTGCACGCAAGACGGGTCCATCGGGCCCATAACGAGGCGCCCCTTCTGACGGTCGTGAACCCGTGTTTTCGGTGTCTACAGAACCTCAGGCTCCAGGGAGAACGCCCAGAGGCACGTGATGCGGTCCTACCAGAAGAACGTAGGTTATCGCGGCCGCAGCTCTGACGTCTCTCATCAGACCACTGTCCCTGCTCGCTTGGGTTATCCTCATGCAGCTTCAGGCCTCAAACATTACACGACCTTCGGCTACATACACGAGTACGCTGTGCGTTTGCTCCGCCGCGGGCCGCCACAGCCAGGACCCGTCTGCGGCATGGACATGGATCTGCAGGCCCTTCTCAAGCGCCACTCTCCAGCCGCTGGGCCAGGAGAAGCATTAACAGAGGGGCCGACCACGGGGCGCAAAAAGCAGCGGACGGGCGTCGGCAATCTGGCCGACGAAGCGGAGGACGCCCTGGCAGGAGCGGAAGGCGCGCTTCGCGCCCGAGGCATACAGGCCGCACTGCTCATACTAGTGGAGATGGCGTGCCAACACGCCCAGAAGCTTCGGGACCTGGCGGCGCCGGAGTTGACCAGCGCGATCACGCCGACGGACTCCGCATTGGTGAAGGCAGTTTTGAGGCGCAGGGAAGATGTATTCCGAGGTCGCCTCTTTGGCCTCCGCCAAGCCCAGCCTCGGACCTCCTCATTTGTACATCGCGCGCGCCGCGTTCAGATGCCTGTCGGAGTCCAGCCACGCACGGGCGGACAAGCCAGCGGCCCATCTCGTGGTCGCCTCATTTTTCGAGAAGTTAGTGTCGGGGGCTTCCGCGTTGGATCCCGGCCTGGTGATCAGACACTTTCGCCTTAATAAATGCTACACCGACGAATACACTCGGGCACAGTTTTCTGTCGCCAACCAGCTGAGCATCCCAGCGAACGGGCATCAGGAGGAGATCGTGCACAGCAAGCTGGAGATCGAGCAAGCTACCATATATCTCATGGAGAGCATGGGCGGCAAGCCGAAGTTCGGGACGGCCCCGCAGGGGCATCTGGAGGCGCTCGCCCAGAAGTTCATCGACAAAGCCAAGCACAAGACGGACAAGTGTCACGGCAGCAAATTGATCTGGGAAGAACGCACAAAGGCACTGCAGGACCGCATATTTCAAAAAAGCGCCACTGCGCCCGTGGCTGATTTTCTCCCATGGGCGAAAAGGGGCCGTCTACAGATTTAGTCACATCGATTCGCACGGGGGCTTGGCACATCTGAATCAGACTTTCGAAGGGGATCCTCAGGGCACTATGGCGACGGCAGTGGCACGCCTCGACGTCGTAACCTCACGCCCAAGAAGCAGCTCCTACTCAGATGTCCCTCGTTCTGGCAGCCCCCCCTCCCGAGCTGGACCCGTGACCTTCACGTCGGGCGGTGCCCCCTTCGACTTCAGCGCTTTACCTCAGCCGCGGGCGGATCCATCGCTTTCCTCGGTCCCCCCGCATGCTTTACGTACAAGCCTCCCACTGCTACCATAAATCCTGGGTGCGCCTGGCGAGCTCACCCAGGTTCAGGGTCGCCACAGGCGTTAGATCGCACATCCAGTGTGTGCCATCTGGTCCACCCTGGTTCGGCGTCGCCACAGGCGTTAGATCGCAAATCCTGGGTGTGCCATCAGGGCTACCTTGGTTCACCGTCGCCACAGGCGTCAGAGCGCATCACCTACAGTCACGAGGTGCGGACATGCCTCAGGGAACGGGCTGCGCTGGATCGAGACGATGCGTTGGCGACATTTGGTGACATCCTGATTCGCTATACCCACTGAGGCCGTCATCTGAGAGCTGACATACATTGCTGCCTCGTCGCCACACCCCTTGTATTGCTGGGCGGCCTTTTCTGGGGCTCCAGGGCTCCAGGGGCCTCCGCCTGCCAAGGCTTAACGACGAAGGCCCTCGAGGGGAGGACTTCGGATCAGGGACGTCCGCGGGCGACAGACCCTTGTGAGCCCCAGTGGGGGCCCCAGCCACGCAAGCGTCCGTCTCAGCATTACCTTACCGCGGATGGGCCTCTACGAGGGAGAGCCCTCCCCCGACCAGCGCCGCCACGGACGGCGCCTCTTGCACTCCGTCGGCGAACCATATCGTCTCCTATGCCCTCCAGCCTCTCTGCACCAGGCCGCCGCTGTCTTTGCTGCCCTTCCCCCCCCGAGCCCCCCTTCACTCTTTTCGTTGCTGCATATCTCTCGGGCAAGGATGGATGATGGTGGGAGGTGTGTGTTTTTGTTGCACCTTCAGGGCCGGGTTAGTGTCTCGGCGCCCTGCCAGACACAGGCAGAGACCCGAGGGGCATCACCCCCAGCCCAGCGAGAGCCCACAATTGCTTCCTCCTATATACATTGCATGATCGGTTGCACGGCGTGTGACGACCGACACCTCGAGACTCGAACATGGTTTCGATCGTTGGAGGTCGAGTGTGAGCCGAGCTGTCGAGCTTGGAATCCGAGGTCCGAACCAGGCCACACGCAAGGCCGAGTCGTCTGTGTCTTGGTACTTGGTACTCTTCTTCTTATTATTCCTCCTCCTCCTCCTTCTCCTCCTCCTCCTCATCCTCTTCCTCCTCTTCCTCTCCTCCTCCTCCTCCGCCTCCTCCTCCTCCTCCTCCTCCTCCTCCTCCTCCTCCTCCTCCTCCTCCTCCTCCTCCTCCTCCTCCTCCTCCTCCTCCTCACTATCGGACTATCATTATCCTCCTCCTCCTCCTGCTCCTCCTCCTCCTCCTGCTCCTCCTCCTGCTCCTCCTCCTCCTCCTCACCCCTTTGGGCGCGATCACGCGGTCCCTCTCCACTCATTACGACACCCTGCCTGCTCACTCGTTGGGGTAGATCAACCTGCCAGTGTCCCGGCAACGAGCGTCGCAGCAAACGCCATGAGAGCGTTTCCGGATACACCTAGTTACACCCAGTTACACCCAGTTACACCTAGTTACACCTAGTTACACCTAGTTACACCTAGTTACGCCCAGTTACACCTAGTTACACCTAGTTACACCTAGTTACACCTACTAACGCCCAGTTACACCTAGTTACACCTAGTTACACCTAGTTACACCTAGTTACCCTCAGTTTCCCTCAGCTACCCGAGTTAAGGCATGACGCAATCAGTCTGAATCGGAGTGCAGGCATTCGAACCTGGAACCTCGGTCCTCGATCCTCGCCTCGGTCATCGATCCTATCCTCGGTCCTCGATCCTGGCTTCATTTTTCAAGACAACCTCGCCGACACATCGGCGATACATCGGCGATACATCGCCGATGCATCGGCGACATCGGCGATGCATCGACGACGCCAGCGCGGAGAAAATCGAGCTCCACATCGGGCCGCATCGCCGATGCATCGACGATGCGGCACGATTCTCCAACCCCATCTGCTCGGACCCAGGGGGGCCAAGAAGAGGGGGTGGTGCGCATTGGGGCCAAAAGCATGGGGCGCGGACGAGCGGGGGCCTTGGAGCGTGTTGAACAAAGAAGCAGAAGAAGGAAAACAAAAAGGTTATTAATAATAATGTCAATACTAATGATACGAGTGATAAGAATGATACGAATTATGCGAACATAATGATTATACTCATACTCGGATGATCATAGACATCACAACAACTGATAATACGTATAGAAAAATACATATGATACGAATAGGAATGCGAATACGAATGCGAGTACAAATACGAATGCGAAGAGCAATCATGATAACAAGAAAACAATACCAAATACAACATAACAATAAACAATGGTAACCATCAGTGCTATTACGAAGAGGGCGAATAATACGAAAAAGAAAATAATAATAATGTAAATATAGGAAAATCATAATAAGAAGAAGAAGAGGAAGAGGAATAAGGAGAAGACGAAAAAGAAGAAGAGGAAGAGGAGGAGGAGGAAAAATAATAAGAAAAAAAAGTCACAGTCCTGACCCCCTGTCGGGCGCCTGGTGTTTTCAGGACGCCACACCCGGTCTCCGGCGGCCTCTCAAGGGACGATCCAGGCACACTTGGGGGGCCGCTCCTGGCGAGGCGCGGCTGCGGCTGAGCATCCGGAGGCTGGCAAAACCCCAGTGAGCCCACGAAAACGCCAGCAAAAAACCTCCCTGGACGAAGCCCTACACCTTGCGAGTGATGGGAAACGAAATTTTCCTTCAAAAACCGCACTCAATGAACCACAATAGCGTTTACCATAACTCTAAGCTATGGGAACCGCAATCCCGGACGACTGCCGCCCTGTAATCCCTCTCTGGCGCCCCCGATGATGCCTCGATTGCGCCTGGAAATCTGGGCCCCTCCCGTTTCTGTCGGCCCCTCGGACCCCTCATGTTGGCGGTCTCGGAAACCTTGAACCCAAAATTGTTTTCATCTTTTGGGGGGACATCTTCTACTTCCGACGACCTTCCGCCGCCCTTCCGCTGCCTTCCGCCGGGGAAGATATGACAACTCCTTCGACCCTTGAAGGCAAGGCCCTTTCTGATACGCCCAATGCGGCGTTTGCAGCCTGCCGGATAGTTCTCTGGATAACCTGGCCTCGTGGCGACAAGGACGCGCTGGCAGTCCCAGCCAAGGCCCAAAACCGCCAAGAAGCCTACGGCCAGGGACTTTTGCTGAGCGTGTCGCAGCGGCGCCCCTGGCGGCACGCTGTGCCTTGGCGAGCTGATAGCGTGTCGCTCCGCTCCGCGGGGCGGGAGGCTGGCAGGAGCTCGAGGAGATGACGCTGTGCGCTGTGGGACCGGATCGTGCTCAGCACGCGGCGCCGCAGCGTGGTGAGCCAGAACCGGCGGCGCCACACGCCTCCTCCTCCTCCTCCTCCTCCTCCTCCTCCTCCTCCTCCTCCTCCTCCTCCTCATCTCCTCCTCCTCCTCCTCCCCCTCCTCCTCCTCATCCCCCTCACCATCACCACCACCACCATCCTCCTCCTCTTCCTCCTCTTCCTCTTCCTCGTTGTCTTCGACCCATCATGTTGTTCACCCCCGCTGTCCGTCGCAATCATCTTCATCTCCTCATCGTCATGCGCATCGCCATCATCATCAGCATCATCATCATCAGCATCATCATCATCACCATCATCATCATCATGAGGTCGCGACCCCGGAAAGCCTGACGCCCCGAAGCGCGAGGGGAGGAGGAGGAGCAACAACAACAGGAACAGGACACGGATAAGGGAGGGGGGCGGAAGGAACATGAGGGAGGCAGAGCAGCGAGGAAGGATGGCGGAAAAAGATGGGAAAGGAGGGGGCGAAGGGAGGTGTTGACACAGGGGCGCCGAAGTCCCCCGCAGTTTTCCCTCAGTTTCGTCTCAGGTTCTTGCGTCAGAAAGAGGTTGCAGCTGTAGGGTACCAAGCCGCAAACGCAGTGCCAGGAAAGCTAAATGCAACCGAGAGGAAACTGAGCGCAACTGACGGAAACTGATAGGAGGGGGCGAAGGGAGGGGTTAACAAAGGGGCGCCGCTGTCCCCCTCAGTTTTCCCTCAGTTTCGTCTCAGTTCCTTGCGTCAGAAAGAGGCTGCAGTTGTAGGATACCAAGCCGCAAACGCAGCGCCAGGAAAGCTAAATGCAACCGAGAAGAAACTGAGTGTAACTGAGGGAAACTGAGTGTAACTGAGGGAAACTGAGTGTAACTGAGGGAAACTGAGTGTAACTGAAGGAAACTGCGTGTAAGTGAAGGAAACTGAGTGTGACTGAGGGAAACTGAGTGTAACTGAAGGAAACTGAGTGCAACTGAAGGAAACTGAGTGTAACTGAGGGGAACTGAGTGTAACTGAGGGGTCCGAACCGGCTCCGTCCGACGCCGCGCGCGGCCACAATGCAACCTGCCAGCTCTCGCGCCCGCCGCCACTGCCCCGCAGCAGTTGCCCACTCAAGGGCGCGCAGCGTCTGCCCACCTAGCGCCGCCAAGCACACCTGGGCAGCGTGCCTCCCGATTTCCGCCTCCAGGTCGGCGCGGGCCCGGCGCGTGCACAAGGCGGATACGCCGGCGGCGCCTGGTCGCACCCAGCCGTAACTACTCGGAGCTCTCCCGGTGAAGCGTCATGATCGCCAGGAGCGCCTCGGCCCCGAGCTGGCCGCCCTGCTCCACGGCAAAACGGAGGACGCTGGCGCCGTAGTGCTGCAGTTTGTCCTTCTCGCCCTCCCTCGTCGCTACGCCCGGGGTCGCGCGCGGGCTCGGGAGTCCCGCCGCGAACGGTGACTGGATGGTGACATCCAGCAGGAAGCGGCGGATTTTGGCAAGCCACCACACCAGCAGTTCCATGAACCGTTCACGAATCTTGACGTGAACATCAATCTTACATAACTTATGCAGCTCTTGGATCAGGGCTCCCCGTGACACCACAGCGCCTGTCGCCCGCAGATGCTTCGCGAGCACGGCCACGGCGGCTGTATGTCAGCGCAGCCGGCCTTCTCCCGCGCTCACCGCATGGGTCATCAGAATTCCTGTGCTGCATAGCGCATGTTAGGCCTGCCTGTTGTGCCCAAGCGATGCCCAAGCGTCCCTTGGTAGCGCGCGCCGAATGCAAGTTGGCAATGCGCAGAGCTGGACGGTCTGGCACAGTGGACCACACCTTGCCTGTGCTGGGGCCTCCAGCGGTGGGCATCCAGCTCTCCATGGAGCGCCGTGGCGGACAGAGCATCCAGACCTCGGAACAAACGGCCGTAGAGGCGGCTGCCCGCCGGCGGCGCGCCTGCAGACGGCGACGCTGCAGCTGCCGCTCCGACGCCGGCATGCGTGGGGAACTTGAAAACCTCGTGGGCGACGATATCGTGGTGCCAAGGTCCCTCCTGATACCGCCTCCCAGCAGCGGCAGCACAGGTGGGCAAACCGTCGCGCAGCTCGACGCGGGCGGTCTGAAGTGTCGTTGCGGCGCGGGCTGCCGCCTCCTCCTCCTCCTCCTCTGGTCGGCCGCAATGGCTCCTCCCCAACCGAGCCGAAAGTAGCACCGCCTCCAGGGCATGCTCCGAATGCGTGGACAAGAACGCCGCCGCGGCGCGCTCCCGACACGGCAGGTCGAGGGGCAGGCCGCCAAGCCAGCCTGGAAGGGTTGCCTGCTGCCGGGCTTGGCAATCCAGTGGGTCTGCGAGTTCACCTCTAACGATACGATTCGCAGCAGGGATTCATCCAGCTTCCTCGCGTGCGCCTCCAAGAACTCCCACGGGCAGATCTGGACGTCATAATCCAGGTAGCGCTGGATGATGGTGAACACGGCTTGGCCTGCTTCATCATGCACGCGCGCGCACCATGCCCTCCTGCTTGGTCAAGTCGCGGCACGTTGCCTCCGCGCGCTTCCATGCTGACCAAGCGACAACCATTGCCGCCCACGGCCCAAGCGCTGTTTCCAAGCGGCTCTGGGCCGCGGTGCCGAGCATCGGCAAGGCCACTGTCCCGAGAGGGGCGCGCTCGAAGTACAGCCGGAACTCTACTGGGAGGCTGGCAGGCGCTCCCACCGCGTCCCAACCTGGAAACAAGACATTCGACTTCGCCGGTTGGAGGCGGTGCCCGCGCTCCTCGAGCTTCTCCTCCAAAGCTGGCCACTGCTCCACGAGCCTGCCCAACGGGCAGGCCAGGTACGTATCGTTGGCAACTCCGATCCTGGCCGCGACAGCGCGCATGGCCTCCAGCTCGTTGAAGATGCCCTCGAGGTGCAGCGCCAAGATGACCCGGGCCAGGCGGGAGACCTGAAACCCACCCTGGCTGGATGGAAGCGTCGCTGGCCAAGTCCGCGTGTGGCATGCGCTGCCAGAGGCGAAGACGGCCGAAGCGCCACTGACCAGCAGCCAGCATAGCGACACGGGGGCACCGCGCACGCGCTGCAGCCAGCGCGCGCGAACGGTAAAAACGACCGTACGCGTTCTCCAAATCTAGTTCCGCTATGCACTCCTCGCCTCGTCCTCGACGGTCGCCAGCCATCCCCGCAGCATCTTGACTGCAAGGATGGGCTCATCTAGAGTGGCGACCCCAGCTGATGAGGCCCAAGTCGTTGCCGCAGCTCTGCCACGGTCTAATCAATGGCCACCGTCTCCACCATCTTCAAGAGAGACTCTGTATGGGCCAGCGGCCGAAGCCTCCTGGGCGGAGCCGAGCTCTCATCGTCCACAGTCCTCTCACTGCAATCGACTGGCTCTATGACGCCCGCGTGCCAAATGATGCAGTCCTCTTCGTCCCACATGCTTCTGACCCCAACTTCAGCGAACCCCCTGATGGCCTCGTTGCACCCTGGGAGCTCGGCGGGCACCTTGATGTGCGCGTTCCGCGTGCCTGACGGGCCAGGCACTGCGCCCCGGCGAAGTGTGGGGCCGAAGATGCGCGCACTTATCGAAGCCTTCTTCAGTCGCAGCCCGCCGTGTCTCCTCGAGTAGAAGGCGCACCTCGTCCTGCTGTCGCCTCAGCTCCTCCTCCTTGGCGGGCGCTGCAGCGAGCCTCAAGATCTCGCCCCTGGTCGCCTCGGTGCGCAGGACTGCCTGATCACCTCTGACGTTCCGCCTCGCCCTGGCCACGCAATCACCGTGAACTGAAGCGACAGCTCGTCGCCAGCCCGCTAGGTCGTCAGCACCTGCCTGCTGGCGACGAGCACTCATCATCATCATCATCATCATCATCATCATCATCATCATCATCATCATCATCATCATCATCACCATCACCATCACCATCACCATCACCATCATCATCATCAGCAGCAGCATCAGCAGCATCATCAGTAGCAGCAGCATCAGCATTAGCATCAGCATCAGCATCAGCATCAGCATCAGCATCATCATTATCACCATCATCAGCGGCGTCATCATGATCATCATCATGATCGCCATCATCATCATCATCATCAGCAGAAGAAGCAGAAGCAGCAGAAACACCATCACAATTAACAACAACCTACACGTCACCATCATCAGATCAGCATCAGCATAAGTTCATGATTCTGATCATGATCATCACCATCATCATCATCAGCGGCAGCAGCAGCGGCGTCATCATGATCCTCTTCATCAGCAGCAGCAGCAGCATCAGCAGCATCACTCAGCAGAAGCAGTACCATCATCAGCATCATCATCAGCATCATCATCCCAATCACCATCATCATCCAGCAACAGCAGCATCATCATCAGCAGCATCAGCACCTTCACCATCATCGTCATCATCATCGTCACCAGCAGCATCATCAGTGCCTTCGTCTTTATCAGAATTCTCAGAACCATCAGCAGTAACAGCATCGTGGTCATCATAATCATTATCAGCAGCAGTATCATCATCAGCATCATCAGCAGCATCATCGATACCATCTTCATCCTGACCCTCACCATCCTGCTCCTCATCCTCATCAGCATGAGCAGTAACATCATCATCATCATCATCGTCATCAGCAGCAGCATCGTCATGAGCATCGTCATCATCATCATCATCATCATCATCACCATCATCATCAGCATCATGAGTGTCCTCATCCTCACCCACATCATCACCCTCACCATCCTCCTCATCCTCCTCATAATCATCCTCATCCGCATCCTCATCTCCGTCCTTCCCAGCATCATCAACACAACTAGTATCACCGTCAGAATCATCATCAGCAACAACATCAAAATCCAAATCACCATCATCATCACCATCATCATGCAGCAGCAGCAGCTGGAGCAGTATCATCATCAGCAGCAGCATCATTCGCACCATCATCACCATCCAGAACCAGCATTATCATCACCAAAATATCAACGTCATCATCATCAGCATCATCCTTACTATTATCAGCATCAGCATCATCATCAGCATCATCATCATCCTCAGCATCCTCCTCATCATCATTAGTGTTTACATGTTCATCCTCCTCATCCTCCTCCTCGTCATCCGCATCATAGCTATGATCATCAGCAGCAGCATCATCAGTTGCATCAACATCATCACCCTCATCCTCACCCTCACCATCCTCCTACTCAACCTTGTCATCGTCATCATCAGCACCATCATCCTTTAGCAGCATCAGCATCATCAGCAGCGGCGTCATCATCCTCATCCTCCTCTTCACCCTCACCCTCACCACCAGCCTCCTCATCATCAGCATCCCCTTTCGTCACAACCAGTATCATCATCAGCATCCTCATCATCAACATCATCAGCACCAGCATCACCTTCTCCCTCAGCATCAGCATCAGCAGCATCATTACCATCATCCTTACCATCATCATGCAGCAGCAGCATCATCAGCATCATCATCATCAGCATCATCATCAGCAGCATCATCACCATCATCATTTGTTCATAGTCTGCATCACCATCATCATGAACACCATCATTGTCATCATCACCAGCATCACCAACATCACCATCATCACCATCATCATCATCATCGTCATCATCATCATACTCATCATACTCATCATCATCATCATCATCATCATCATCATCATCATCATCATCATCATCATCATTCCCGTCTTCATCTCCATCATCACGAACAGTGGAACGAAGAGAGACCGCAGGACCGTCGACTCCTCCGCGAAACCAACCGCCGTTCGCGTCTGAGAGCCCACTGGTGGCCGCTACGCAGCGGCGGCCCCGTAATAAGTCAGCTCGATGGACCAGTCGTGGGGCGCGCCGAAAGTCACCTGGCGCGAGGTGTCCGTGCGCGCGCGCGCGTGTGCGGCCGCGCCCTCCTCCGTGCCGTTCGGGTGTTGCCAACGGGGTCCCTGGCCATGTTGCCAGGATTTCCAAGGAGGCCAGCACACCCTCCGGAGCACCCCTCACGACGCCCAGAGGGCCCCAGGAGCTCCAGAATGGCGCGAGAGAAGCTGGGCGCACCTTGTGCCAGGAACACCTCTGGCAACCCCCGAGCAGTGTGTCTGGCCGCGCTGTGGTACTCCGGATTCGAGGGGGGGGTCAGTCTGGAGCCGCCTGTGGGGGCGATGGGGTTACCAGAGGTGCGGGTGGTGCCAGCAGCCCATGCCTGAAGTGAGCAACGCCAGGGCGGAGGCGTCATCGAGCCACCGAGGTCCAGAAAGCTCTAAAGCTCCCAAGGGGGGGCCCTCCTGGGAGAGCAATTCCTGAATCGCGGCGCTCGCTGCACATCTGCCCTGAATCCTTGCTGGAACATCGCCAGGGGGTCCCTCCCTCCTCCTCCCTCCTCCTCCTCCTCCTGCTCCTCCTCTTCTTTCTCGTCTTCCTTGTTTGTTGCCATGGCGTTCGGAGCGAGCAGGCCATTCGCGGAAGAACTGCGGGAGCGCATGGTGGCGACAGCACACGATTGCTCACAAGCGCCTCAGATACAATTGCTCTGCCCCGTGCACATCGACAAACGTCCGCTCAGAATATGTCCCTGAAGTCTCATGGACAACCGCCTGGCCAGCTTTGCGAGCCGCGCCCCAAGCCGCTGCGACGAGGCCCGAGAGGGTCCTCAAAAAATGCAAGCGCAGGGGCCAGCAGGGGAGTGGAGGGAAATGAGGGGAGGGAAAGGTGAGGGGGAAGGGAGGGCAAGGCAGCAAGCGCGAAAACGCCAGCGCAGCTCTGGATGGGGCTCATGAGCAGCAGACTGGAGGCACTTGCCACGCCCCGCCCATCCCTGAGCCTCCCCCCTCCCGGCATCCCCCGTCCTCCTGCGGCCCGCCTTCGGGTCCTTCACAACAGCCCGCCATCCCGCACCGCCGTCCGCGCCCCGCTCGACGGCCACTTCCAGCTCCCGCTCGACCTCTCGAGCCACGGGGAGGGGACCCACAACTTGAAACATCCGCTCACCCATCCCAGCCCCTTCACCTTGCTGCTTCATCGAGCCACTCCCGCCCCCGATGTTCCCGCTCCCTCTGGACCCTCCGTGGAGAGGTTGTGAGGAGAAGCGAAGAGAGCACGTTAGAGAGCGTAACGGTAAGTGGCACGGCTCACCTGGGATTGCCCCAAGGATCAGATGGCTCGCCTTTTCTTTGTTCTGGAGGCCACCCTGACTGCTGCGGGCCGAATCCACGTACATTGCCCCTGAGTGCTTGGCTGAACGGGGGCCCGCGGTGTGGATCAGTATTGCTGTCAACGTCGCTCCGCGACCCACCAGCGCACCCCGCGCGAGAGGTCGCCCAAACATCTGCTTCTCGATCTCCGCAGGCGCTGCAGCAGCTGCCACCAACCCCTCCGCCCCCCATCCCTCTCCCCCACCTCCTGCCCCCCACCCCACCTCTTTCCCCATGCCACTGCAGCCGTCGCGTAATACTGCTGCAGCAAAGCAGGAAGACGCGGCGAACGACGGGAACACCGACCCCTGCTTCGAACGGACCTCGGCTGCCGAACCTGGCAGAGGAAAATGTCAACCTCAAGAGAATTGAGGCCTGGAGGGAGGAGCGGGAAGAATAATAAGAAAAAGAAGAAAACGACGAATAATAAAAATGAAAAATACGAATGATAATAACATTATAATAAACAATGAACAATATTAATAATAATAATGATAACAATAATAATAAACACTAATTGTAATAATAATAATAATTTCAATAATAATAACAATAAATAATAATAATAATAATAAATAAGAATAAGAATACTAATAATAATAATACTACTACTACTAATAATAGTAATAGTAATAATGCTAATAATTAGGAAACTGTTATTATTAAAAAATAATACAAGCGGCACGTGCGCCATGGCTCTTGCACAAAAAGGAAGGGGGAGGAGGAGGACGTGGAGGAGGAGGGGAGAGGATGCCAGACGTCGCAGAAGGAGTGAGCAAAACAGGGCCGCAAGAGGGGCTCCAGAGGGCGAGCGCGAGGAGACTCCAAGGGCCGTCCCCCGCAAGATGGCTTCAAAGACCTTTGACTGGTTCCCAGGAAGCCTCCAACTGACGCCCGAGAAGCCTACAGAGGGTTCCAAGGGGAGGCCTCCAGGGTCCAAGGAGGGCTGGAAGAAATTACTGAGCGGACTCAGCTGCTGGGGGCTCGCGGTGCAAAGTGCGCGGCGGCCTTGTGTTGCGAACGCTTGTCCAAGGCAGTCGCTTTGCACGCAGAGTCTGTCGGGTGTATTCTCGGGGGCCGGCTATGCGCCGCTTGAATGGGCGGGGCGGGGCGGCGGCAGCGCGACGACGGCGAGACGGCGGCGGCGTCGGTGGCGACGGCGGCGACGGCATCGGCGGCGTCGCGGGAAGAGAGAGGGGACGGGTAGGGAGGGCGAAAAGGGCAGGGCTGAGCGGGGGTGGTGAGAGGGCCGGCGACGGCGGCGACGGCGTCGGCGTCGGCGCCGAAATAAAAGGGGCGCTGAGACGGCGCGGGGGAGGGGGCGGAGCGGAGGGGGGGCGCGGTGCCGAAATAAAGTGGTCGGGGCGGAGGGGGCACTGGGCGGGCGCTGGAGCCGCGCGGGGGCGCTGAGACGGCGCGGGGGAGGGGGCGGAGCGGGGAGGGGGGGTGCGGTGCCGAAATAAAGTGGCCGGGGCGGAGGAGGCACTGGGCGGGCGCTGGAGCCGCGGGGGGGCGCTGAGACGGCGCGGGGGAGGGGGCGGAGCGGGGGGGGGCGGCGGTGCCGACAAGTGCGCGGGTCGAGGTGGCACTGGGTACTGGGCCGGCAAGCGCCGGAGGCCGCGCGGGGGCGCTGAGACTGCGCGGGGGAGGGGCGGAGGCGGAGCGGGGGGGGGTGCGGTGCCGAAATAAAGTGGTCGTGGCGGAGGGGGCACTGGGCGGGCGCCGGAGCCGCGCGGGGGCGCTGAGACGGCGCGGGTGAGGGGGCGGAGCGGGGAGGGGGGGTGCGGCGCCGAAATAGAGTGGTCGGGGCGGAGGAGGCACTGGGCGGGCGCTGGAGCCGCGGGGGGGCGCTGAGACGGCGCGGGGGAGGGGGCGGAGCGGGGGGGGGGTGCGGTGCCGAAATAAAGTGGTCGAGGCGGAGGGGGCAATGGGCGGGCGCTGGAGCCGCGGGGGGGCGCTGAGACGGCGCGGGGGAGGGGGCGGAGCGGGGGGGGGGTGCGGTGCCGAAATAAGTGGTCGAGGCGGAAGGGGGCACTGGCGGCGGGCGCTGGAGCCGCGGGGTGGCGCGGAGACGCGCGGGGTGGAGGCGGAGCGGGGGGGGGGTGCGGTGCGAAATAAAAGTGGTCGGGCGGAGGGGGCACTGGGCCGGGGCGCTGGGAGCCGCGGAGGGCGCTGAGAACGGAGGGGGCGCAATGATGATGATGAATGTGGATATTGATGAGGATGATGATATGATGGATGGTGATTATGATGGTGATGATGGTGAGGATGATGGTGATGGTGATGGTGATGATGATGATGATGATGATGATGATGATGATGACGACGATGATGATGATGATGAAGGGGGGGGGGTGCGGTGCCGAAATAAAGTGGTCGGAGCTCTAGACACCCTGTGCAAGAGAATAGTACTACTACTAATAATAATTCGACTAGTATTCATAATAAGAATAAGACTTACTCCGACGGAAGGACTTCTCATGAGAATCCTCTGGGCGAATATGGAGATAAAAAAAAAAAAAAAAAAAAAAAAAAAAAACTCACCGTCGTCCTCGTGGTTGGTTAGGCGTCCTGGCTGCCTCTTCTGCGTATATTTATTCTCGCCCTGGCGCGGGCCCTCCCCCCGCTCCACGTTGCCCCCGACCTAGTCATCATCATCATCATCATCATCATCATCATCATCATCAGCATCATCATCATCGGGTGCGTCCCAGTGGATACGTGCCGAACACGACCCAGAGGAAACGCACAGAGTGCGTCCCAGTGGATACGTGCCGGGAATAGCGCTCTGGGAACACGACGAACACAAAGTGGCCTACAGTTGGCTCCGGACATTCAGAATGTGGCCCGGGAGTGGTGTTCTGGGAACACGAAGAACACGAAGTGGCCTACAGCTGGCTCCGGACATTCAGAATGTGGCCCGGGAGTGGTGTTCTGGGAACACGAAGAACACGAAGTAGCCTACAGTTTGCTCCGGGCATTCAAAATGTGGCGTGGGAGTGGCGTTCTGGCAGCGCGAGAAGCCAAAAATGACACAGTTATCAGAACCTGATGTTCCGCTCGGATTAGCAACATGATCCGCAGGCCCCATAGGGAGGGCGCTCCCGCCTGAGACTTCGTCGCAATTCACTCACAAACGAAGCTCCAGCGTGATACTTCCCCCATATTCAAGCCTGCGGATCACCAAATTGACGACATCTACACAAATTGGATGACCCGCTCGGATTAGTAACATGATCTGCGGGCCCCATAGGGAGGGGGGTCCCGCCTGAGATTTCCTCGCAATTCACTCACAAACGAAGCTGCCGCCTGAGATTTCCTCTGTATTCAGGCCTGAGGAGCCCAAAACTGATGACGACAGTAACGAAAATTGGATGGATGACCCGCTCGGATTAGTAACATGATCTGCGGGCCCCATAGGGAGGGGGGTCCCGCCTGAGACTTCCTCGCAATTCACTCACAAACGAAGCTCCCGCCTGAGATTTCCTCCTTATTCACGCCTGGGGAACCCAAAACTGATGACGACAGTTACGAGAATTGGATGGATGACCCGCTCGGATTAGTAACGTGATCTGCGGGCCCCACAGGGAGGGGGGTCCCGCCTGAGACTTCCTCGCAATTCACTCACAGACGAGGCTCCCGCCTGATACCTCCTCCAAATTCAAGCCTCAGGGGCCCATTACTCCGACGGAAGGACCCCGCATGAGAATCCTCTGGGCGAATCTGGAAAAAGCTCTCACCGTCGTCCTCGTGGTTGGTGAGGCGTCCTGGCTTTCTCTTTTGCGAATATTTATTCTCGCCCTGGCGCGGGCCCTCCTCCCGCTCCCTACGTTGCCCCCGACCTCGCCCTCCTGTTTTGGCTCCGGACATTCAGAAAGTGGCCCGGGAGTGGTGTCCTGGGAACACGAAGAACACGAAGTGGCCTACAGTTGGCTCCGGGCATTCAAAATGTGGCCCGGGAGTTGTCCTTTGGGAGCACGAAAAACACGAAGTGGCCTACAATTGGCTCCGGGCATTCACAATGTGGTGTGGGAGTGGCGTTCTGGCAGCGCGAGAGCCCAAAAGTGGCGATAGTTACAAGAATTTGATGACCCGCTCGGATTAGTAACATGATCCACGGGCCCCATAGGGAGGGGGCTCCCGCTTTAGACTTCTTCGCAATTCACTCACAGATGTGGCCTGGGAATTGCGTTCTGGCAGCGCGAGAGCCCAAAAGTGGCGACAGTTACAGGAATTGGATGACCCGCTCGGATTAGTAACATGATCCGCGGGCCCCATAGGGAGGGGGCTCCCGCTTGAGACGTCCTCGGAATTCACTCACAGACGAGGCCCAAGGCGAGTGAGTGAGTGAGTGAGAGACTGACTGACTGACTCGTGATGATGATGATCATCACACTCTCTCACGCGCACACTCATCATCATCATATGTGAGTGCTGATGAGTCAGTGAGTGAGTGAGTGAGTGAGTGAGTGAGTGAGTGAGTGAGTGAGTGAGCGAGTGAGTGAGTGAGTGAGTGAGTGAGTGTGTGAGGGATGATGAGTGAGTGAGTGAGTGAGTGAGTGAGGAATGAGTGATGGTGATGATGGTGGGTTCCTGTTCCTGCGCGGGGTGTCCAGAGAAAACAAGAACCCCACTTTGGATGTGGGGGAAAAGTGACGACAGTTATAAGGTTCCGATGACCCGCTCGGATTAGTAACATGATCTGCGGGCCCCATAAGGAGGGGGCCCTTGCAGGCATTCCCGGTGTTCT